TATAATAACATAGGCGCCACAGCAATTGATTTCAAGAACTTCAAACGAGACCTTAAGGCATATGTTGCGGGTGGAGATGCACAAATGATCATCGACAAAATGTTTCGAAGACAAGAAACATGTCCTGCATTTCGTTTTGCATATGATGTTGATGAAACGGACCAACTTACCCGACTATTTTGGTGCGATCCCGTTGCTAGGAAAAACTGGGCTCTGTTTGGGGACGTTCTCTCTTTCGATGCTACGTATGAGACTAACAGGTGTGCTTACATGTATAGCTTTTTTGTAACACCAATCATTTTATGACAATGCCAATTTGAATACAATTTTAATCCAATCACACTTTGTTCTTTAAAATGATAGGTACAACATGGTGTTCACTCCATTCACAGGCGTGGATAATCACCAGAAGTGTGTTACATTTGGAGCTGGTTTACTCCGCAACGAAGACATAGAATCCTATACTTGGATCTTTCGCCAATTTCAGGATGCAATGGACCATGATCCACAGTGCATCATAACAGACCAAGATCCCTCATTGACGACTGCTATCAGCGAAGTTTTCCCACAGACAACACACAGGTATTGCATGTGGCATATTACTAAAAAAGTAGGGAAAAAAGTGGGGGAACCGCTAAACAAGGATTCTGTCTTTCTCACACAATTGAATGACGTTATCTGGAGCCATTATCTAGACCCACGCGATTTTGAGCACAAATGGAATGAGGTAATGCATACGTACAATCTGGTGAATCACAAATGGTTTGTTAAGTTGTTTAACATTCGCCAAACGTGGATCCCAGCATATTTTAGAGACCAATTCATGGCTGGTTTACTACGAACAACTTCACGATCTGAAAGTGAGAACAGCTTCTTCGGGGAGTTCTCTAACCCCCATTTCAGTCTCGTAGAGTTCTCGATGCAGTTTGAAAGTGCCATGGATGCACAACGCCACAGGAATGCTAAGTTAAATGCAGATTCTGAATCCTGCATTCCTGTGTTCAAGACTCCGTTGCCAATTGAGAGGCATGCCGCTGCCATATATACGTTGTCAGTATTTTATGATGTGCAAAAAGAGATTTGTGCTGCATGTTTCTCGTGTTTTAGCACACATGTTGAGAACATCGATGATAAACTGCACTACATGATTAAGGACAATAGAGGTATGACGTTCTCAGTTATGTACTCCGCAGATAATTCATACGCATCATGTTCATGCAAGCATTATCAGCGCGTTGGGCTTCTCTGTAGGCATATATTTGTTGTTCTTATAGCAATGGGATGTCCCACTATTCCTGACAATTACGTTACAAAGCGATGGTGTAAGATTGACATAGCAAAACGTTATCTTGGATTTGTCTCGTGTGGCATTGAAGGGGATTCAAATCAAGAGAATACTAGATGGAAGATAAACCATTTGTGGGCTAACATCCATGCGTGTGTTGCACTTGCGGAGAATGATTCTGAGTTGTTAGATGCATTTACCCAAGTTATTAAAACACAAAAACAAAACCTCGAGAGATCGGCCTATTCCGGAGATTCAGAACCAGAAAAGAACAAGATTTTTGAATCTTACTATGGCACACCGGCACCATCCGAGATTCGTGTTTTACCTCCCGAGAAGGTGCATAACAAGGGCAGTGGAAAACGCATCAAAAGTGCCGTAGAAATAAGCATGGAGCAGTCCAAAAAACAAAAGAGAGTATGCCGAACATGCAAAGAAGTTGGTTACCACGACAGTCGAAACTGCCCAATGAATAAGGGGCTATGATAATCTTATTTCTGGATGCAAAATTGTACCACTTTATTTTTTTCTCTAAATCTCCATGTACTCCTTCATCTTCATGCACTTCTCACTACATTTTACATTTCTCACAGTTATTAGCGCATTAACCCATCATTACTATATCATAATTTGCCATTCTCAATACATACACCTGGCTTTGCAAATACTCCCCCTACAACCTTTTGAAATGATAATGACACACAACAAATTCAACTATCTTTGTGTATCAGGGCACTGCTTAATGTATATACACGTTATGTGATCACATATTTACCAAATATATATTGCATAATGTAATCGGCATGTATAAATGTCTCATTCAACAAAATCATCTGCTTCTTAGAATACCCCAGTAAACATATCATCAATTCCTACTAGGATGAACTCCACTGTTGAGTTCTAAATAAAATACATGGCAATTAAAGAATTACCAAGGGTAGTGCATAATTCAGAGCATTAAACACATCTGTCACGTAAACAAGATCATCCTACCACTACTAACGCATGCATACGTCCAAAACATCATACCCATGTCATGTGAAGGAATGGCTCCTCC